GCAAGCTACAAATTAATTTTTTAGTGTGTTAGTATTTAATGGTCTTTTATAAAACTAATTACATCCTAAAGCTGTTCTGAAGTACACATGTGCTGAAATCCTGAGGCACTAGCACTCCTCTGTTGAATGGAGCAGTTTTCTGGACTTACTTGTGCTGGATCGACATCGTTCAGCATAACTATTGAAGTGCAGTGATAATCTAGGACCAGTCTCCAGAAATCTTTGACAGTATTTGGTAAGGGATGCTGTGTAACTATAAAAGCTGATGGTTGCTTGTAGCTCTGCAAAGAAATAACAAGAGATGGTGAGAAGAATGGTAAAAAAATCCATTTAGCAGAATGCCAGCTATAGCCCCAAAACTTTGGGTCTGAAAGCATTATCTTTATTTTCTATATAATTAATACATTGTTTTCAGCTCTTTCGCAAGATCTTATATGCTTCAAAGTTAATAAACTGTATTTGGGCAGAATACAACTTCTGCAGATGTTATATTTCTGAAACTTATTTTATGCCACAGACATAAATCTGACCAGCTACTTGCATCTTTCTTTCAGAGACAGTCACTGAAGAGACCACAGAAAATGAATTCAATGTGTTTTGGGGTAGAGATAAAGACATGTATGACTTCAGTTCTTTGTTTTGGTTTCAGCAAACCATAAGCAGCAGCTATTGATGCTGCTGGCACATCAGTCAGCTTCCTTCTATCCTACTGGTCCTGTCTTGCTGGAAGTTGTATGTAGATGAGAGATGCTTGAGAGGCTCTCCATTACTCCCTCACTTAGAAGCCCCAGCAGTTTTCTGGGAAAAATCCTTCTCAAATTCATTCTAATACCAAATAATGAAAATTATGCTTGCTACCCCTTTTGCTTGAAGTGAGCTCTAAAGGCTTACACGAGGTGATCTGACTGCACCTCAACTGATGCAAGTGGAGAGGGTGAAATGCATCATCTTGTCTGCTGGAGATTGAGTAGAGAGAGGGACAAATGTCTGCTCTTGCCTGTCAGTGCAGGGATACTGCAGGAGCCTGGCCAGGGTGCTTCAGGTGGAAAGTGACCCAAATCACATCCTCCCTTGGATCCTTTTGCCCAGACACCTTTTGGATCCAGCTCATTGTTTCAACAGTGAAGAACGGAAGCATTTTCAAAGCAAATATTGAGGCACTGCTCCTTTTGAGCAGTACTTAATTTACAGAACAAAACAGTACTGAACTCTGTGGGAAAGAAGACAATGTAATGGCAAGATTGTAAACTGCAGATCAAGAAAGCTCCGTTCTAATAAGAAATGTTGTTGACCTGCTGTGAGAACCTAGAGAACTCACTTAAACTTCTGTTTTCAGTTCCTCTCCACAGACAAACATAAAGATAATACACTTACCTTTTCACAGGAGTGTTTTGAACTTTAGGCTTATTTAAGAAAATGCTTTGAGAACTCGGAAAGAAAAAAATGCACACACTGCTATAAACTGTTATTACTCTAGCTTTACTTTTCAAAAAGGCCATTTACAATGTGTTCATGCTTTGCTAAACTCTGTTTTCTTGTTGTTTATGTGTTTGACAACCGTAATTACTATAGCTTCAAATTGTCAAAGATAGGCTCTAAGTATCTACAGACTGTAAAGGTGGTTTAAGTGTCTTTTTACTGATATTCTATTAGCAGTATTAGAATTACCATAGATGCATTAGAAAAAAACTCCACACACACGAAGAGGAACCAATCATTCAAACAGAAATAAACGGAAAGACCGAAGTAATGGCTTGTGTACTATCTTATCTTGTGCTGACAGACAATTATTTTTTTGTTAATTACTGTTTAAATTAGAAGCAAAGGGAACTAAAAGATTGTTGCAAACCTTATTATCCTATTTAACCGCCTTGGTGTCTTAATAGGTAACATTTCTTTTTCCTAGGCCAGATGGTTAAAAATTCAAGCACTAAGGAGAAACCTAGACACATTTAATTTATCAAAACTCCCTGACTTGCTCTCTGAGCATGGCTTTGGAACCTTGGCTGTGACATAACATATGTGGGATCCAAAATGTACTTGGGAGTTTAATGATTTTGTGCCATGTTTTTGGAAAACAAACTAGAAGGATTTAATTCTTCTTACGCTGACTTCACTTTCTGGCATTGCTCAGGTTGGGGGGCTGTTTTTTCCCTTATTATTAATGATGTAGTGAAGACTTACATCCATCAGTGCAGCATTAATGTAGTTACTGCTCTCCCCATCTATCGTTATGAGGAAAGGCAGGCATCTGTCTGGAGGCAGAACATCCATACAGCGATTCTTTTCATGATTTCGTGGTAAAAGTGCTATGCTGCAGTCTTCTACACGCAGTGTTGGAGTCACCATATTTAAAGTCTTTAAAAAAGAGTAAACAATACAACAGAAAAATTAACACAGCAGTGAAAGCATCACAAAATATTTAAGAATAGATCAGCTCAGCATTCAGTTTCAGTGGGAATCAATATGCAGAGAAAAGAAAACACAACACAGTCAACAGGGTTTGGAAGCAAAAAAATCTGGAAGCATACAGATCTGAAAAATAACCCCAACGGCAGCTGCAGAGTAACTTGCCTTCTGGAGAGAGAATAGTGGAAGGAATCAACATGCTTTCCTTGAGTAATAAGATTGTACTACTACTGTATTGTATTCTTTTATGATTTTGCATAATTCAATAGCAATTAGCGACATGTTATTTTCCCTTTTTTTGCAGTCTTTCCCTCCCAGGCATGGGCCACAGTTCACATGGTTATAACCAAGCACTTAGGTAGAAGTCAAGCACTTAGGTAGCAGTGTTTAGTATAGTTGAACTGTATGGCTTCTAGGTACTGCTAGCCACAACTTACCCTAAATTCCTCTTTGATCTGGCTGGAGTTAGTTTGAGGATCCAGTTTATTCATTTCATAGTAAACAGACCTAACTTGAGAAGCTGGAATCGATGTGTCCCCACAAAGACAGGCTTCCAGGATAGCATCATGGATGAATACATACTGTTCCTGATAAATCAATTAAAATAATTACTGACATAGACAGCATATGCTATTAGTGTTTTGGTAAATAAAAAATAACAGCTAATATGGTTGCCACTAATTCTCTTTGACTACTGGCACTGAAACAAGACCAGAAGGAACAACAGCAGTTCACAACTTTTTCCCTTTAGTTTAGAAATTAATATGGAAGGATTGACTCAAATTAGCTACAAGTATAAAAAGAAGTGCAGTAACACTCTGTAATTAAACTCAGAATGTTTCTGGTTTCCTCATTCCTCTGCACAGTTCTGTAATCAGTTATCACATAACTGAGCCTCAACAAGATGTACTCCAGAATGAATCCTCCCCGGAGAGAAAACAATCATGATTTTCCTTTTTTTAAAAAAAAACACTGTGGACTTTAAGTGCAGCATACTTCAGCACTTGTTTGGGCAGTGGCTCTTCAAGTTTATGTGTGCATTATTTTCTGCATATGACTGAATAAATTACCTTCTGGATGCTGCCTACCACAAAGCAGCTCCAGTTCTATGGGCCAGAATAATACTTTTTCTTGCAAAGTGTAAGGCAGTATTCCAGTAGATTAACAATACCTCAGTCTGCACCATGTTAACTCTCCGAGATCGAAGCTCTCTCACGCAATTGTATATGTCTACAACACCTTCTCTTTCTGCCATATCTAGCATGATGTCAATAACAATGAAGCACCCGGTTCTGCCAGCACCAGCACTGAAGTAAAAGAAGAGCACAGTTAACGTTCATCAGTGTATTGGAAAATGTAAAGCGCAAGGGTTCATCTTGCAGGTACTTGATCAATGGGATGGTTACTGAAATTAAGTCTTGCATTAAGGCATTCGCAAGATTTCAGGCTCAGTTTTGCCATTCTCATTTATATTTTAGGTATTAAGTTCTTGTGGGTAGAACTCCAGTGGCTTCAGCAACCTGTTTGGGGATTACACAGTACAGCAGAAGCAAAAGTAGATTCTGAGCTCAGTGGACAACGCAATGGAGGTACTTCTCTTCTGCTTACCTGCAGTGAACAACCAGAGGGCCAGCGTTTGGTGGGCTCTTGGATTTGACCTGCCGCACAAATCCCAGCAGGCCTGTTGCATGGTACGGTACACCATGGTCTGGCCAGCCAGTGAAGTGAAACTGACGAATTTCTCGAATCTCATGAGCACCTCTCTGTTGAAAAGACAAGGGTTCAAAAAGAAAAACAAGCTAGAATGTGAAAGAAATTGGACACGAGATATCATAAGAATGTAACTTCAAAAGACTGAGCCTTGCTGAGAAACATCCACCCCCTACCAATACCCATATCTGTACAGACTGTTGGAGAGCTTTCTCATAGCAGGAGAGCAAGTTCAAAGGTTACATATCAGCTTGGTTCAAAGCCTTACAACAAAACTGAGTAATTTAGCACTGGACTGGTTAGAAACTTTTAGCAACAAGATAGACACTCATCTCTATATTTAAGCACTAGGTTGCTTTGAAAACTGTGGCCTTAAGATGCATGCCATGATCACAGAACAGGTCAGCAGCAAGGCCATGAACAGATAGCACAGAAGACACTTTTTTTTTTTTCCGTTGCTCCCCACAGGAGTTTCGCTGGTGACTTCAGAGAACTACAATTTCAGCATAATTTTCCTTATCATTTGTCTCCTTCACTGGTCTGAAAGAAACAGCTGAATAGTAATAAACCTTTTTGCACCACCAATCATATGGGCTGTGTTTGTAGCCCTCCACATGCTCACCCTTCAAGTGATTTGCCACAGTCTACAAGGACATGGATATGGTGAGACAGATACGAATGAGAAGCCGACTAAGTAATTTCCCATGTGACTTTTTGGAGCGGTCGGGATATTAGAGGTGTATATGCTAAGTTTTACTTTCTTAGTGTTTCTATTTCCCCTTCCCCCTCTAAAAATGTTGCTGCCAGTATTTTATTCTCATTAGAAATCCACAGACCAGAGGCCATCATACATATTTCATAAGCAAACAGCAAAATTATGACATATCATGTCTAGGCTGGACTAGATGTCAGTGATATTAATAACTGGTGGTTTACAGTGTTTCTTCTTAAAGATGTATTTCTTGTCTTGAGCTAGTTCGCATATAAAAGGTCTAATTATTTTTGCATAATGAATTAACATAAAATTCTTAATTTATTGCTAGTATGCAAGCTAAAAGAGTCTGGGATTTTTGATGGTTGAGAAACTCTGGCCATGCCAGTGCTATGTGACTAGAGTGGGGTTGGTGTATCTTGAAGTCCTGATGTTCTGACAGCTCAGGCTAGGGGTCTGTGGAGATTGGGCATCTACTCAGAGGAATATCTGGACTCATCTCCCTCATAAACTGTGACACAAAAAGGCAGGCAAGGGAGAAGATGAAGAGCATATGCAACACTAGTGTAGACTGAGGAGAACACACCCTTGCAACAGAAATGACCTTATATCCTAAAAACCAACTTTAAAACATATTGAAACCCAGGAACAGACAAAGTAATTTGCATTTTAAGACAGTCTAGCAAACACATTGAAATACAATTTGGGCTCTGTACTCTAGGGATTTTAGAGTGTGTTAGTTAACACATCTTTTTGCTACTGTAAGCAAGACCTCCAACTCTGTAAATAGCTGTGTGTAGGTGGGGTATCCATGTCCCGAACACTTTTATATTGCTCATAACAACTGCCCACAATCCCCTAAGAAACAAAGATCCTATACAAAAAAGCAAGTCCATGCCTATACAAACTGAGGGCTGAAAAGAGTACCCCACAGAAAATTTTTCATGCTGTATGCAGCCTTGATTTTCAATCAATTCACAAAAAGTAAACTGGCCCTCCAAAATAATGGAGGACCAGGATACGTCCTGTGTATCTTGTGTATTGGTTTTGAAAATGCTGCCTGTCACGCTAACTGCATGTTTGTCTATCGTTGCTAACAGCTGCTTAGAAAAGGTTTTGCATATAGGGTATTTTTATAAGGAATTTGCTTATTACACCTACCAAAGAACGATTTTCATGTCTGTAGCTTCCCTGCTGGTTTCTAACCCCAAAATAACAACACAACTGCATGAATCATAAAAGCATATGCTCAGCTTGTTAAGATTGTATTTTTTACTTTTTCTTTCAGCTAAAACAAACAGAAAATGGTGTACATTGCTAACAAGCCCTAGGATGTTAAACAATGTAGACCCTAATCCTACAAATACTTATGGTGCTGCTGTATGTTGCTATCTGAGTAATTAATCTGAGTTAACTTTCGTGCTGGAGCTTTAAAGGAACGGCTCCAAAGCAACTGTTTATGCACACAGCATAAAGCGTATCTAGGAATTGGTCTTCAGAATCAGAGTGCAATTTTGGGTTCCATTTTCTTAGTATTATCCCCCTACTCCTCAATAATTACCAAATAGCCTTTAAAAAAATAAAAATAAGTGATAAATTTATTTCCAAAAAAATCAACCCTTAAACTCTATTTTAGGAGCAGGTATGAGATATTCATCCACAAATAAAAAAGACAGTGAGAATGGACATCCAGTCCAACCTCCCAATCAGAGTGGGTCTATGGCCAGCACTAGATCAGGTCACCCATGGATCTGTCTAGCTGAGCCCTGATGACCTCCAAGAATGAAGATTCCAGAACTTTTCAGGGTAACCTGCTTTAGTACTGAACCACCTTCCTCCTGAAGCTTTCAATACCACAACTTCTTGGTTACTGCCCCTTGTTTTACCATCCACTACCATCGAGCAGAATGAGGAGAATTTGGTGACCCTGATTTTCTGAACATCTTTGAGGTAGTCACAGGCTCCTCATCTTTACCACACTGAAGGCCAGCTCCTTCAACCTCCCCCTGCAGCTCATACATCCTACATCTGTAGTCATCTTGGATATAACATGTTGTCCCAGGATGTCACAGCCTGTGCTGACAGATGGGGTTAGCCCACTTGAAGTGCAGAACTTTGCATTTTTCCTTGTTGAATTACTAAAGTTTCTGTTGGCCAAATCTTCAAGTCCTTTGGAGCTGAGATTCCAATGTTCAGCATTTCAATGCCATCCTTCACTTAGTATTATCTGCAGCTTTGGTTAGGCTGCAGTCTTTCTCATCATGCAGCTTGTCTTGGAGAGGCTGAGAAGTATCAGTCCCAGTAGATCAGAAATATAAACTTGAGAGAATTATGGTGGAAGAGATGTACAGACTTGACCTTCCAGTACCATTGGAAGAGTTAACAAGTATGGAAAATAGGGTAAAAACAAATGTACTTTAGTCAGACTACACTGACACTGCTTTTAGAGGCTTACTGAAAAAATACCAACTATTTAAAAGCAGTCTCTAAATGAAATCTTTTCAGATGGAGATTTTTTTTTAAAGAAATAAAATGTTTAGTGCCTTTTATCTCCATCTGTTCTAATGCACTTATTCAAGACAGTTTGGTTATGATCAACTGTAAAATCCTCTAGGTCTTTTTTCCCAGTCCCAGTTAAGAAGTGAAAAGCTAACATCAAAGCATGGGCTTAAAATTTGCAGAATAGAAATCAACCGGTACTTAATCTACTTCAAAGTGTAGCCACAGTTTCTCATCTGTTTATTAAAAATATCTAACTGCAAGGAAACAACAGGCTTGAATGAATTCATTGTACAATATGTATAGTGGCAAACATGCTACAATATTTTGGTTCATTCAAACCACGTAATTCTATTATGATTACCCTCAGGTTGCTGTATTGATGCATATTTAAGTATTAGACTGAAGAATAAAATAGGAAAAAAAACCAATTCTTTTGTTACTGTGGATGCATGTACAGAGACTCTGTTGGGTTGTCTTTTTGGCAGTTTCATATACTTGGGTGCAGGATTCTTTGATGTTAAATATTATATTCTTCAAAACCGTAACTGAATACTATTTCATCACTAGAGACAATCAGTGTATCACAGGTACTGCAACTCAATCAAAAGGAGTTTTCTAAGCTAATTAGTTGACAAACTGCTCATGGTGCTACTGAGAGAACATTAGGAATATCAAGTCTTCCAAAGAGGCCCTTTCCTCGTTGTTCTGCAACTCAAATGAGCCTAGAAACATACAGTTAAAACACTTCTGCCTTTTAATGAAGTCTGAATAAAATCCCTGAATTGACACAAAATGCCTGACACCCTTCAGCTTTGACTGACCATACTTGTTCTCACTTTCAGTAAGCACCGTATTTGTTAAATTGTATGTTGTCCTTATATTGCAAACTGTTTGGGAGAGCTACAAGATCAAGTAAGCATAAAAAAAATTCATGGCATTATTCTAAGAAACAGTAATACAACATACTGATTGGAACTCTCCATATAAAGATGAATTCCACATGAAAAGTGAAATTGCCTTGAGAAGAAAATTAGTTTGTTTTAACCATGTGTCTGCAGACCAGGAACATATTGGCCCAACAGATAACAGCATTCTCCACCATGGACTTCTGAATAATGGTGCATGTAGCCGCTTGTACAGAACGAAAATGACTGCAGGGAACATAAGATGGGAAAACAGCACGAGTATGTTTTTCAATTGATTGCTGGGAGGGAGACTTCGATTTCTCCTAGGCAAGGAACATCACTTTTTCTAACTCAGGCAGGGGCCAACAGTGATGGACAGCACAGAAAAGTTGCTGCACTTAAAGAAAAACACAGTCTACCGTAAGAGGGCGGTAGTCGTTTACCCAAAGAATAGCTACAAAACCAGGATGTCAGTCAAAAGATTTAACTCTCCCATGTTGAATCTTTATATAAGTTGCTTAGGCAGATACCATTGTATTTAAGAAAACTGAATTTGGAAACTTACCTTTTCTACTGCAAATGTTCGAATCACATATTCAGCCAGGAGCTCTGTTTCTATTAGGGTAACTTTAATGTCTTTGTAGATCTCTGTATCATCTGGCCAGTATTTGCAACATTTGACCTTTAAAAAAATACAAAAGAAATTAAGGTTCATTTATTTTAGAAGGTTCATACTGAATCTATTCTGTATTCTGTGCAATGATTTCTGCTTTAAAATGCAATCACCCACAAAACAGTCATATTTTTTGCACATGGAAATGATTAATGTTTAATGGATATTGCCTCTTTTTAAGACGGCTTTCATAGTTGCAGGTGAGATTGGTAAAGTAAGGCAAATTTGTACAGTGCACAAAGGGATATTTATTCCCTGCATAACTCAGTTACAGTAACTGTCCATTTCCTCTGCCTTCCAGTGCAGGGTGTGCCCAGAGGGACAACTACCACCAGAAGCCTTTTTTTCCTCAACCTCTAGTTGGTGATTTATCACAAAAATAACTTCCTACCTTCTAAAATGATTTTTTTTTTTTTTTTTTCAGACAGGAAGGATCTTCTCTACTGTTGGAAAAGTATCTGTTTTCTCAGATTAACTTTCCAAAGGAACTGCTGAGAGGTCAAATGACAAAACTCAACACTCGAAGTCAAGAGACGAGTTTTCTGTCTGGGCTGTAACACCAGTTCACTAGATGACCCCAAACACTATGGGTAGGATTTATCTCACTTAGCTCAAACTAAGGGCAGTAGGATGAATGCCTTCTAGAGGTGCCTTTATTTTTCTTAACTATGAAGAGAGTCTAGATGACTGCCTTTGCCTAGGTGTTCAGCTTCTTGATGGCTAAGGGTAGGTGAGATGCATTCCCCTTTCCCCCGTACTGATTTCAATAGGCTTCTGGAGCTGTGCATTCTTGGCAAATTCATCCTGGATACAGAGATGGAAAGAAGGTGGGTTTTGTGACGTGTAATTCAGAGTTTCTGAGCCCTGATGTGGTCTAGACAGGACAAACTTCACAGTATTTAACATATTCAAACATGCACTATTACTCTGCTATTTTTTTAAAATGGTTCGTTGTGGGGAGTGTATATGATGATGCAGATAGCTGACAGACTTAAGAATTTTCTCCTCCTTCCCATTTGTGCGGACAAAGCGGTGGGCAGGCAAGCTAACACATTACTTACATCTCTCTGTTTTATTCTGCTCTATCACAGTAACAGCTATGCTATCACCACTGCATCTGGCCACCGTCCAGTAGTGCAGTACGTACTAGGGGTAGCATCTGTTATACATCTGCTCCATGGAATGGTTTCTCTCTTTCTCTCACCAAAGGGAAAATTTAAAATGGACCTTTTAATAGATGTAAATCTACTTTTCATTTAAATATACACTTAAATCGGTTGGGTAAAAAACCAAAACACTTATTCAATGAAAAACTGATACAAAAATAATTAAAAAAATCAACTTCACAACTGTTAAGAGTATTTCTCAAACCCATTTTTATGCCAAAATATTTGGATTACTATCCTGTCTAGTCTTGAGCAAAAGGTAAAATTGAAAGATGTGTGTATAAGCACAGAGTGAAAACTGTAAAGCATGACTGAAATTATTTATTTTTTCAAACTCCAGGTTCAGTATATAAAGCACGATTACACAGAGAGTCAAACCTTGTCCTGTCAGGCAGAGGAAAGTACTTTCCTCAGAATTTGTTTCTAGTGACATAGCTGATAATCACATACAATCCCTCTTTACTCTCTGGACAGAAGGAAGGTCTAGCCACACGAAAGTGGTAACATCAGCAGAGAAAATAAAAAGTTTGTCAGGGCAGAGTCAGTGGTTCTGACCCTTCTCCTGACTCTTTATCAGGATAAAATTTAAATCTGAATAACACTGAGTTGAAGGGCTTGAAAAACAGAGCCCCACATCAGGATCCTCTTCGAAGAAAAAGAGTAGCCTTGTTGTAAGCCCTGACTTCCAGCCACAAAATTATACAAGCATCCTAACAGCTTATTCCTTCTTATACAGCTGACTGAAAGCTCCTAGAGCAGAGCTGAAGTTCAGGTAGCTATAAGCAGGTTTTTATTTATTTTTCTACGCTTATTTTCAGACCTAGTAACCACATTAGTATTGGCTAAGAAAAATTCTTTATGCTCTTCACATTTCATCTGGTATTAAGCACGGTTTCAGGACAACCGGCAAATATTAGGTTATACAGTTCCCTTCCACAGTGAGAGGCTTGGAGCTGGGACACTGGACAGTCCTCGCAGTGCCTAGCACTCCTGTACTGGGGGTGAGGGTAACAAGACTGCTCCCCTCGCTGTGCTCAGCAGCCAGCAAGGTGGCAGGGTGTCAGTGTGCATGAGGAGGTTTCCACCAGCCAAGGACCTGGATGGTCCCAGGGTGCCTAAACTGCAAGGTCTCTGGCAAACACATATTCATCTCCAAAGCATACCTACCAGCTATAAGCAATGAACAACCATTTCAAAAGCATTAAACATTGCTGCAAGCAGTTCAGTGGTTGCTGCTGCTATCTGTTGTTGCATTGACTTGATAGTTATTCAGATCTTGTTTGGATGTATTTCCAAAAGCTCTGTGATAGAAGTTAAGTGAAAAATACTGAACGCTCATTGTTTTGTCTGTGTAGTTAAAGTAATCCAGAAAATTCACACAGTTCAAAACCCTTAGGCTAGCAAACCGGCTCTATAGTCACTGCTGGGAACTCTCCAAAACTAGGTTTTCCTACCTATGGATAAGATGATTTTTCAACTCTCCATGCTATTCTGCATGGCAATTCACACTGCCTCCGGACTGGAGCAGCCCACTGACAACCCCATCTCTGGAGCTGGTTCCCTTTTTCTGCCTGTTCACTTATTCTTTCCACAGGTGGAACCTGAAGCACATGCGGACAGCCAACGCACGTAGGAAGGGAGCAGCTGCAGCGGTGATCCCAGTCACAGCACTACTGATCAGCGTGTCTCTTTGTTGCTAACTTTAGCCTTGTTTCTTTCTGATGGGTGCCTGTCATCCTCAGAACAGCTCTAGTTTAGTAAAATAAACAATTGGGGATAAAAAAAAACCCCAACCTGGCTGAATTAAATTGCTCAGCCTTGAAGGAAAACATGCCTGTTTCTAACTTTGGAAGACTAGACGGTCTGGATAATGACTAAGAACTAGGGACATTTAGAAAGACCAGTTCAGAAGAGCACAGTCCCCACCTTCTTATGCCTCAACTGTTGGATTTGCTTCCACTCTTTTTTTAAACCTTATTTAAGATGATCCAGTGGAATAATTAGGGAAGCATTGGGGGATGTTGCACAGAAGTTACAGCCTTTCATGCCTCATGCAGCTTGGGCCTGCCGGGGATTTCTTACTCTGTCTGCTGCAGAGGGGACTTTGGGCACAGAGCAGACTGGTGCTGAGCAGAAGGATCCATGACAACACAATTTCCTGAACACTCTCCCAAGTGGAATAGGGGCTGTAACAGCTGTGGGAACGGTGCCAGAGCCACAGTCAGAGCCACAGACCAACACTAAATGATTCACTCACTGGAAGGCGGGGGAAAAAAAAAAACCCCACAACTTTTTTTTTTTTTTTTCCTAAATTCAGGCTTTTTTCTTACTTTTGGCTCTTGCTGTGCAATGCTGCTGCACGTGCTGAGCTCAAGACATGGGAACTCTGTGGACTTCTGATGAGCCAAAAGCTAAGTAAATGTTTAAAGACTAGTCTCCCATCTCCTCCAGGACCTCTCAAAGAAATGCAAAGGTGTCTTAAAGACAGAAGTAAATTAAATAGGGCAAATCTGATTCACACTTGTAAAAAATTATTGGATCAGGGCCCTTATTTGTACAAGGAAAGACAATTGCAACAAAACAGAATATGGTTTTACCCATCAAATATGAGAAACACTGCTGGTAACATATGTTTGTTCATTTTTTTCTTTTTAACACAGCTTTAGCTACTGTGACGTGATGAATCTAAAATCTTTCCCTTTTTATAAACATTTGGTACATGTTTTACAAAAAAACCCCTCTACTAACAGAAGGTTTAGCTAAATAATTGATACATGAATCCAGAACTGAATAGTAAATGAATAGAATTTTTTTTTTTTCACACAGTTGCTACCATAACAGTAAATATCATCCACAAAGTGGAAAACATAATTTTGAAATATAATCTGAGCAGAACTATAATTGAGAATTTGTTCAGATGCACCCCACATTTATATCCTAACAACGTGCCAAAAAATACAGATGTTCATCACAAGATGAGATAAAAGGGCGATTGCCAGAGACATAATGAAAATGCTCTGGTTTAATCTATTCATCCCAAGGTACACAGTTCAATTGTTCCAAACATGTTTATTTTACTAATAATTTTAAAAATTTGGACAAGATGATTATTGATTTCCACCCCCTAGCTCCATCCACCAACAAAATAGTCTAATGTGAGAGACTAAGAATTAAAAATAAACGTGGAAAGTTGCTGTTGCTACTTCTAAATATAAAAAACAATGTAGGCAGTGGATAGCTAATGAACACAAATTGTGACTTCCGAAGCTGTATACTGAGCCATTTGGCAATGTGACACATCTAGCTAAAAGCAGTATGAAAGCCAGGACAGTAATTCATTTACTTAGAGGACTGGAATAGGAGGACTATTACAGAATTAATATGTGAGCTGGCTGTGAAATATGCGTTGTAGTTTAAATAACACTGATTATTCAAAGTTTCCAATATCCTTTGATTCTGAAATATACTTAGCAAAAAGGTGATATAACTGGCTATACACTGCATGGATTGTCGTTAGCGAAGAGCAGTATTATATGTTCTAATTTAAAATTAATCCCGAACTAAGAAATGACGATAAGTTGGACATAAATTTTGAAGTGAAACCTCTAAGATATAAAATGAAACAGCCAACCAAGCTCACTGGTGAAAATTTTTAACAGATTTTACAGATGAAGCTGGGATAACATCATACACTTTTATTTGGCTGACTTGAAGTAAAAGGACATCCAATAAATGAAATTATTTTTATTTAAATGCTTTTCAAACTAAAAAGTATTGCGATTTAAGAACATTTTATAAGTTATAAAACAACCTCTGAGAGAAGATAAAACTCGGTCTCTCTTT